CATCATCTGGGAAACATTTTCAAGCACCCATGGCTAGTCTGAACCCTGTATCAAATCCCAGTCTCTAGGGGTGAAACCCGGTCATCAGTATTTTTTAAGCAAACTGGGTAATCACCCAATGTGAGCCCAGGTTAAGAATTAACAAAGCAGATTTCTACCTTTATGAAGGAGGTGACAGTGATTAGCTCATTATCTCAAATTATGTTTTTCAAAGGCTGTATATTGATAGAAGGTAATGTAAAAATGGAAACTTATGAGAGGCTCACATCTCCATATTAAACTTTAAGACAAAGTATTTTCTGTTTGGATATTTAATAAGCATTTTGTCCTTTGAAAATGTTGTATTCCTCAAAGACCTAATGCAGAATGTGGAACTATGGCTAAAATTTTTGTTTTATTTGCCTTCAAACAATACTCCTCAAACTTTAATGTTCATATGAATCACTCACATATCTTGTTAAAATGTAGACAGATTTAGCCGGTACGGGGTGGTGTCTGAGAGACTATAAAACGATGCCAAAGTGGCTAGTATGAAAAGCATGCTTTGGTGGCAAGGCTCCTGAGTCTGCCCTAATAATTTATCATTGAGTCTTAATTTGGGGGTTAAGAGCCTTTTTTAAAATCCCCACAGGGGGTAAAAATGATCACGTCCACGTACACACCTGAGCATACAATTTCAGAGGAATCATGCATTTATTCAGTGACTACCTATTATTGGGTTGTCGGGAAAGTCATGACGTATTTTTTCTGTTTTTTTGTTGCAAAAATGATTCATGACTTTTCCAACAACCCAATATTTTTAATCATCTTACATTTAGTATTTATTCACTATCACATTTGAAGATGGGTATACATGACCATGTGGAATTTTAATTTGTACATTTTCACTGACATAAAATATTTGGCTTTTTAACATAGAACACCAAATTATCTCTTGTCTTTTTTTTGTTATTAGTTTCAGGTATACAAAACCATGTAATATAGACATTTACACCCCTCACAAAGTGATAACTCCTCTCCCCCAATCTACTGCCCTTCTGACATCGTGTATAGCTGTTACAGTTCCATTGACTTCCCTATTCTGTACTCCACATCACATATATCTATATATCTACATATATCTATATCTATATATAGATAGATATAGATAGATATAGATATATATTAAATGATAATTGACAATGAATACCTATTTATGAGTATGAAGTATTTTTCTGGGTGTTAACTATAGCGATGAACAAGATAGACAAGATTCACACTTTGTGGAGTGTTGGGGGACGAAACTACCAGGTAAATAAGGCATGTCACATAGTGATACATGTGTCAGGACAGTAGACCATGGTCACGTGATGGTTGGATTGGGTTGAAGGAGTGCAGGGAGTGGTCTGGTAAACTGGTCTGTCTGTGGAGACGTCTTGGCCAGAGACCTGAATGCCAGTATTTGGAGGGAAAGCATCTCAGGCAATAAGCTCAGAGGGCCCGAAGTGGAAATGAGCGCAGCATTTTCAAAAGACAGTAGCTGGTATGGCAGGAACAGAGTGAGTGAGGTAGAGAGTGACAGAGGGTCCAGATCACGCAGGGCCTATAGGTAATGGCAAGGAGGCTACTTCCACCCCTCCCATTTGCTCAACCTCTTTTTAGACCCTAAGAGAGTTGCAGCCTCCATTTTAAGAACTCCAGACGGAGAAGCTAATTTAGGAATGCAAGGGAAAGAAATGTCTTTTGGGGATGAAAGACTCAGAGAATACATCTGAAAATCCAAAGGAAGGAGGTAAGCAAGCTCAGGACAGAGCTCTTCTCTGGACTCCCAGATTAGCAGTGTCTTGAGTATAGCTGCCAGGCACAAGTGCTTGCTGAATTATTGCAAGCTTAAGTTCCTATTTGCAAGCAAAGTTTGTTATGAAGAGGCCTCTAGAGTCCATCTGCCTCTGTCCTGCAGAATGCTAGGACATCCTGGGATGTGTTCAGAAGGCTTGACATCTCTTATCTTTACTTCTCCACCTTCAAATAGCCAATAATGGCTTCATGTTAGCATCAGCCTTACTTTGCTGAGCTGTAGTGGAAGCTTGGGTGTGGTTTTATTCAACATTTCACTCTACTTTGGGGAGCCCGTTTATGGTGTAGCAATCTGAGTTTGTGGAATCTTCATTTCTGAAAGTGCCTCTTCGATGGCAATTGTCTTTTAACTCTCCTGTGTTGAGGGCTGACTTGAGGCTGTAACAGTTAGTAAAGCAGCTGTCCCATCAGGATTAAGAAGATTAAATTAATACTTTACTTTTTCCATAGATCCTCTTAGGCCCCTAGATTATAGGAAAGAAAATGCACTGGCATTGTGCTTTCAAAATGATTTCTAATTCATCCTTTCCTTTCCTTGAAGTGAAGCAGAAAGTGAAGGTTTTAAAATCCCAATTCTAATTTGACAGCAGATGAATGAAAACAGTACTGAACCACAATCCCCTGGGGCAACCTTTAGATTGGGTGGTTAAGAATAATGGCTCTGGCCTTTGCTGGGCCTCCGTTTCCTCATCTATGATGAAGATAATGAATTAAACAAGCTTCCATGTCAGGGCGAGCTGTGTGAAAGATCCTCCCTGAAAATAACACCCCCTGCCCACACACAGACAAAACAATAAAACTTCATTTTACACACACACACACACACACACACACACACACACACACACACACACACCCCAATCAAAAAAAAATTTTTTTTTAAACATTTTTATTGGGGAATTGGGGGCATGGGAACAGTGCTGGGGAATTAGGGGAAGGGGAACAGACAAGTTGCTGTCGTTTTGTTCTTCAGTCTAGTTTGGAGGACGTTGCTTCACTGACCCAAGTTGGCACCATCATTGCGCTCTTCCCGGGTGAAGCAGATCAGTCGCCGGCTTCTGGACGGCTGCTCACCGCGGCTGCTGGCCGCTCACGCTGGCTGCTGGCTACATACGGTAGCCCATGGCAACCCACTGCCACAGGGGCTGCAGCCTACCCGTCGCCGGCGACTCATGGCAGCCCAGCTCCAGGTTGAGCCGTTGTTCAGCATCTTAGCTGTAGAGGGCAGTGTCACTGGCCCTCATATGTGGGATCCGAACGGGGGCCCTCTAGCGTCCCAAGCCAGTTCTTAACCATCGTGCCACTCAGCCTGCCCCAAAAATTGTTTTTAAATTGTACTTTAAGAATATTTTGCTTTACCAGTCTATCTCTTAGAAACTGCTTTGCACAAAATTATTTTGTAACTTGAATGCTTGGCCCTGAGTTTGTGAGGTGACTACATTTGCGGGGAGGAAGGAAGAGGTTCTGCTCTGAAACCCCATCGTTCACCAAGTTGGACAGGGCATCCTGACAGGGGCCTTTGTGCGAGAAACAGTGGCGAGGGAGGGCATCTTATGAGAGAGACACCAGCCCCAAACACTCTATAAAAAGCAGCAACTTGTCTGTCTGTCCTAATAGAAAGTAAGTTCTTGGTGTCAGGGCCTTTTTGTTTTATTATTCACTGCTATATTTCTAGTGCCTAGAACAGTGTCTGGCACATAGTTGGTAAATATTTGGTGAATTCATGAAGCCAGATATGAGTGCTTCAACTTCGGTGGCTTCTAGCAGTGCCACGCTTCCCATGGGAAAGACGCTGGGAACAGGGAGGGAGTGGGGGTGGGGTGGCTACACAAACCTCCAGCTTTACTCCTTTCCCTATTATCCATGATCCATGAGCATTTTGAGCTTGAATTTCAAAAGTCTCAGATAAAGAAGGTGGACAAAAGATTGTTCCATTTTTCCCAACCCACCTATCCCTTCCTTTACCCATTAATAGGGTCTGAATGTGACAGCTCCATGACTGCTCCAACACAGACACAATTACTAAGAATCCTATCATGAGTGATTTGTAAACTTAAGCATCCTTTATTTATCTATTATATAAATCCAGATGTTTAATTGGATTTGTTTAAATTCAAATCATGTGTACTACAGATATAGGTCTCACATTTTTCAACAGATTCCTACAGTTAGCAGATCTTTGCTCATAAGCTGAAAGAATATGAGAGTTGAACTAAAATTTTTTTTAAAGATTTAAAATTCTCATAGTTCTTGCAACAATGCCCTTTATTGCTAATGTAGTAAGTCACAGCTAAAGTGGCTACAACAATGGTGAACCACATGGAAATCATTTGTGTATAAAAAGACTTAGAGTTTGAGTCTCTTTGGAAAATCAAATGATAAATCCAGATACTGTTTCTCTGTCCTGGAGCCCAGTAACTGTTATGAAAGCAGAGGAGACATAGGCATCTTCCCATTGGCCAGGGGGATTTACCCAGATGTCTTGCTTTCACATAAAAGACAAGGACCGCTGAAGTCAGTTTCTACTTTCACTCAAAGGGTGATAGTTAAACAGCAAAAAGGAAGATGGCAAGACTGTTGTTACTTTTCCTTCCAGTTCTTGTGGCTATAGGCGCCGTGCATGGAATATTTATGGACAGACTTGCTTCCAAGAAGCTCTGTGCAGATGACGAGTGTGTCTGTAAGGACTTTATTATGCTTTTTATTATCTTTCTATTAAATAATTGAAAAACTATCCACTAACAGCATAAAATCTAATTGTTTTTTGAAACACATCTTCTCTAATGTGTATGTGATTGGCATCGTTTCTCCTGGTCTGTACCTTTGGAGTGTTACCCTGAAGAATTCACTTGGCCAAAATTTCTGTTGGATGCAGCTTTAGTGCTTTGGATTTCTCACTGTTCTTGAACTGAACACAAGTTGTGAGTCGGGGAGGTATTAGTCACTCTGATTTCCTAGTTTCCTGATCTGCTTTGTCTTTTTACTGTTTTAAAATCCAGGCGCCTAAAATGTAGTTATTCAAAGTTTTGGGTTTTTTTTCTTTTTCTTTCAGATACTATTTCTCTGGCCAGAGCTCAAGAAGATTATAATGCCCCAGACTGTAGATTCATTAACGTTAAAAAGGGGCAGCAGATCTATGTTTACTCAAAGCTGGTAAAAGAAAATGAAGCTGGAGAATTTTGGGCTGGCAGTGTAAGATGAGATTATCAGAAATATACAAACATCTTGACATATTTTGCTCTTAATTTTTTCTCTATTACTTATCTTCAACTCATTTTAATGTTTAAAGCTAGCTGTTAAGAACTAGCTATAGAGATTGTAGATTCAAGGGCAAAAATTCATGTATATTTGCTTTTATTACATTGTGAAGAAACAATGAAATTTTCATAACAAAACCAAATGTAAGTTTTTGTGATGTTTTGGCAAGAAAAAGTAGTCAAATACACAGGAACTTGAACATCCCCAAGTGTTTGAAACTTACTCAAAACTATTTGAATGCATTTGCCAAATAGGGACATTTATGTTGGCAGTTAGTGTATGTTTCATTATTTTAAAGGAAATTTTAGCACCCCCTTTAAAGAATCTGCTTTCTTTAGTTAAAATGTGCAGCAGGGGACCCTGAGGAGGGCTAAAGCAGGACTGATTAACTATCTTCATTTACAGCCCCCCAGATAGATTCTCAAGTAATGAAGAATTAAATCTTAAATTCACTCAAGAATCCATTCATTTAAATTTTTAAAAACTGAGAAATGTGAGTCCTTTAAAATAAAAGTGTCTATTTACTTCTTTTAAAAAGGACTGACTTTATTTATGGTTCCAAAAAGATTTCAACAGTTCACAAGATTGTATAAAATAATGAAGTGTTATGTAATGAGGCCAGTAAGACGGGGCCACAAAAGAACAGGTATACGATTTCTCTGCGTTGACTTAGTTGCTGTTAGTGAACTTCAAATTTGGATCTGAGGTCACTGAATTCAGAATGGAAAGCGAGCCATGGGCAGTTATGTGATTTTCACTAACAGCAAAGAGGATGCCTGAGGGATTCTGAAGCAGACTCATTCAGCTCTCGCCTGACTGTTGCGCTTTCTGGGCACTCAGGTGTATGACGGTCACCCTGAGGATGAGATGGGAACAGTGGGTTATTTCCCCAGCAACTTGGTGCAGGAGCAACATGTGTACCAGGAAGCCACCAAGGAAGTCCCTACCACAGTAAGTATCTCAGACATGGCCAGAGAAGCACTCAGAACTTGGGGTAAAAATGGAGTTTAAAATACATCATGTGATTTATAAGATGAATCAAACAAAACCCCCAAATTCCAATGGTGACTTTTCTGAGACAGTGACGTTTGGGAGAGCATTTATACCTACTATCAATATTGAAAGTATATTGAAGTTTCTCCACTGACCCCCTTTAGTTTTAGATGAAAATTATCCATGTCTCAAAGAAAAAAACCAGAATAGTATTAATGGACACTTAGTGATGGTTACACACTTATTTGCTAAAGACTTGGACTGGAAAAAAAATTTACTACCTGTATTTAATAAAATTAAAACTTTCTGAAAAAAATCCTTGAATGCCTTACTTTTAGGGTGAATACTCCACTTATGTATGAAAAAAAAATTACACTCTTTTCAATGCCCTGGGATCTTGTAAACCCAGGACAGAAATAAAATATCTTCTTTGAGCTACTTTGTAAGGCAGTTGTTTTGAAGCTATTCTCCTGGAGATAATTCCTGTGCTAGAGAACTTCAAAACATTTCCCAACCTACACAAATGGGACTCACATGTCACCACTTCTTAGCATTGAGCTCGAATGTGTCAAATAACCATAAATTAAAAGTATATTTGAAAACCTTCATTTTAAGTAATTTTTTAATTAAAGTGATAATTATGTCATAATCTTTGGGGTTCAACCTTTACTTATTTTAAATCCAAATTTCCCTTTGATTACATATGATTTTATTTTATTTATTTATTTTTAAATTTTTTTTATTTTTAGTTTCAGGTGTACAGAACAATGCAATAGTTATCCTTTTCACCCTCACAAAGTAACAACCCTCCTCTCCCCATCTATTGCCCTCTCCCCCCCCCCGCCCCCCGATATCAGATTACATATGATTTTAAATAAAGAACCTACATTTGTTTTCTGGCCCTGCCTGCTCAGTTCAATCTCTTTTTGCTTTTGCTTTTTTCTAGGATATTGACTTCTTCTGCGAGTAAGAAATTAGACAAATCTGCAGATAGAATGAAAACACCAAAAATAAAGAAAAAAGCAAAAATAACCAAAAAAAATACATGTCCCTAATTTCTGACTTTTGTTTCCAGGGTTTGTTACCTTAAAGGAGGGCTGGGGTTTGGGCTGGAGGTGGCAGATAAAGCAGGGGCTTCAACTTCGTCTCGTTTTCTGTTGGCCTGGTTATTCCACAACCTAAGCAGGGAGACATTGGCTCAAGTGGGCAAACTGAAAGCAGAGAATCATTTTTCAGCCTTTCTTACACGGGGATGCATATAGAAGGTGGATTATTTGCAGCTATTTCTAAATAGTAATTCTTGCCAGCTCTTTGGCTCCCTGTATAAATTTGGTAGGTCTTCCCTTTGGATATGATGTTTTCTACTTATTTTTCTCTCTGACTAATTGGAGTGTTATAATGTCCCCAAAGGGGTTATATCATCAAGGAGTAGTCTAGGATTGTTGTTACTTTTAATAGTTGGTGCCTTTGGGATGTGAACTGTCAGGGAAAAATAAAAGAGCTGTTTGGACTCGTAGATGTTTGGACTATGGTTTTAAATTTCTCTTTTAAAAAAGTCTCAGAAATCATCTCAGTTGAATGATTTTACCCTCTAAATGATCAATTTACCTCTCTCCAAATTTTAAATAAGTTTGTGTGGGGAAGGGGGGTAGGACAGATATGAAATATTTTTAGTGAAATAATTTCTCCTTCATATTCATTTCTCCTTAATATGTGCTGATATTATTCAAGCTTCAAGTCAAAAGACACAGGGGAAAAAAGCCTATGGGTTATTTTCTTTACTGTATCTCAACTTTGAATTTCCTCTTCCTGTGCAAATTCCTCCAGTCAAGGATGATGTGTCAAAAAAATCTACTGAGGGGATGCAGGTTTTGTGGTTCCAATAAACCCACAAGGTTTTTTCTTTTAAAGATTTTATTGGGGAATTGGGGGAGGAGAACAGTGTTGGGGAATCAGGGAAGGGGAACACACAAGTTGCTGTCCTTTTGTTCTTCAGTCTAGCTGTGTAAGACATCGCTTCACTGGCCCATGTTGGTATTATCATTGCGCTCTTCCTGAATGAGGCAGATCAGTCACCGGTCACTGGACGGCTGCTCACAGTGGCTCTTGGCAGCTCACACCGGCTGCCGGCTGCTCATGGTAGCTTACGGGAGCCCACTGCAGCTCCACTGCAGCCTACGCCATCGCCAGTGATTCATGGCAGCCCAGCTCCAGGTTGAGCTGTTGTTCACCATCTTAGGTATAGAGGGTACAGCGTCACTGGCCCTAATGTGGGATCCGAACCGGGACCCTGCTGCTCAGAACTGGCATCTCAAGTCAACTCTTAACCAACGTGCCACTCAGCGAGCCCAACCCACAAGTTTTATATATTTAACTGGAAATCTGCTTTGATTGTGTATTATTAATGTAAGTCTTTTTGATATAGTCATGAGGTTTTTGTTTGTTTGTTTACATGTAATTAAAATGCCTGTACTAGACTCAAAAAAAAATCATAATTTCTTAGTTACAAAACTTTTAAACATATTTTTTACCTTAGGACATAGAAAGTCAGGGAGGGAAGACTTGGGAAGGGGGTTCATTCCTCAGTTTTCTGTGGTCTGGTTGTCCCACAAGCGTGAAGAGGAGGACATTTAAGACAAGTTGGAGACTTGGACTCCAGGGTCACTTTTCATCTGTGTCTACTGTGACTTTGAGTTTTGAGTGAATATGTTTTTGCCAAATTCTTATGCAATTCAGTCAAGTTAATGATACCAAAACAACAACAGAAAAGCCTATAAACCCCACAACCACTAGTGTTTTATTGTTGTTTCTATCTCACTTTATTCCATAAAAGGTTTCAGGCAACATCTAGGGCTCTCAACACAATTTTAAGGGAAGAGGCGTTTGTCCTACCCATGTATCTACCTGCCTCTCACTGGCTGGCTCCCCCATTCCAGATATTCCGTCACCCTCTTAGATACCCAGAAGCCCCACTGCGCCCTTAGTTTGCCCAAAGTTCCCCACCTGTCTGGCCTTATGCATCCAACCTCACTCCCCAAACATGGGGCTTCCAACTGTAGGTTCCCTCCTTGCCCCAGTTAGCAGGACTGATACTTACTCAGAGAAAAGGGGGCTGAGTAGTGGAGGATTTGAGGCAACGAGGCCTCTGGGACCCATCCCCCTGGGAGAAACTTCCTTGCTTCCCACTAAGAGCAAGAACATCATAACACTTTTAAGACAGACATTTTTGGTTCACAACTTTGGGAGTTCTCCAGGTGAAATCTGAAACTGTCCCCCCATACCCAGAAGGCAAAGAGAGATGGAAGAAAGAGGCAGGCCACTCCAGATTGGTATATAGCAGGTTAAGAAGCAAGAAACTTATATATGAGGCCATAGGATCTCCCAGTATGATTAAGTTCAGCAGCAATTTTTGTGCAATAAAGCTTTAGAAAACCCTAGCATATTTCATATGCTTAGAAGAAAGATAATTCGAAGGTGTTGGTGCCTTTAGCTTCACCCACTCCTGACCCGAGATAAAAGTGGGCATTTATTACTTCTCATGTTTATTGGCAGAGGAGATACTTGTGCCCTCATGGATCTGATTCAGTATAGGGAAATATTAAGCTCATTTGTGTAGCATTTAAACAAATCTCTGGAGGGAGTGGGTATTTCGGCTCTGAGTGGAGAGAAGAAATAGGAGCGAGCGCTAAGGAGAAAATCTCATTTCTTCAAACATCAGCCTCATCTATCTGAAATGGTGAAAAAAATAAGAGAAAAAGAAATTACAGAATCTAATACTATTGCATGTTGTACCCTTGAAATGTAATTTTCGTGACTTAAAGGCCTTCCCATGCTATGGTGTCTTCTCAGCTGTGTCACCTACAAATACCAGGGTATATCGTTAATTTAATCAGGAAATGACATATTGATCCAGATGCTTTATATAATCTACCCTCTAGCTCATTATGAACAGAGACAGAAAATGCTCCCCAACCCATGATTTAAATTTTTTTCTAAATGGAAATGACTTTTCTGTCACACATGAGCAATTGTTTTAATCATTTTTCTCAAGCATATGCTAGGCTAAAGCCAGTGTGTTTGGGAGGTAAAAAATGAGGTGGTGTGACTAATATCTCACCTACCTTTCCTGCCTCTCATTTCTTCTTATCACCCCCTCCCCTTTTCCTGTTTGCTTCAGCATGCGATTCTTTTCTGGCCAAATGAACCAGTGGAGATGGGAGTGTTCGTTTGTTTGAGCACTCTTATGTTGGTCTAAAAAAATAAGAGAAAAATGCACTTCTCTCCCAGGCACCTACTCCTCTCCCCTGCCCTTCATCACTCCAAAAATGATTTGAGGGCCTTTTTATCTGTTTCTAGATCTTTTCCTGAGCCTTAAATTACTACTATTAAAGCCATCACAAACTGAGTGGCAGACAGAGCTGGAGCCATGACTCTCAAGGACCAGACACAGACACATTGGTTCCCAGGAAGCGTCCTCAGCCAGGCTCAGTGGGACAGCAGACAGAATGGGTCAGCTGGACAGACTTGCAATGCTGGTCTGTCCTACAGGAAAAGGAAAAAGGGTGCAGGGGCCACGCTAGGTGATATGTGTTCCCAAATCCCACTGATACTTGAAGCAGACAGATAGATAGATGATCGTGGAGGAAATGAACCAACTTTTCTTTGAGCATCAACTATAAACCAATGTCTTAGATGAGGTTCCCTAGAAGCAGATTTGAGATGAGGATTTAGGTACAGTGATTTATGGATGAATGACTCCCAGGGGCAACAGGAAGGGAGAGAGGGGTAGCAGGGTAGGGAAGGAGGTAAACAAGGGTGCAACCTCAGGTTTACAACTGCTGGCTCATTTCTGATCCCACTGGGGCCTCAGAGTGCAGTAAGTTACACCTCAGAGGTTTCCTGGACTCAAGCTGAGCTTCCTTCTGGCCCCATGGCCATCGATTAAGGGTGGCTGTGGGGAACACCATCCGTCGGCAATTCTGGCCTTCTCTGTGTATGGGCAAAGTGGGCTCGAGGAAGCTGGAGGTGCTGGAGGTGCCTGGCAACACTAAAAGGGCATTCAAGGGCATTTTGGGGTGAGCACTCCTTTTAGCTGCTATATCCTGGCTCTTTTCACTTCATTTCATCCTCCCAGCAATCTGTGAGCATGCATGAGCCCCTACCACATCCTTTGTTAGGCGAAAGGCAGTAATTCTTGTCTCAGATTTCCTTCTTGATCCGCTTCCATGAACCCTGAAACTTTCTGATGTGCAAGTTAGCTGCGGTGAAACACTTCAGTGGGGCCAGGGTGACATCCAGTGGTAAGCTTGGGATCTGGTATACAGCGAGATATTTCTAAGCTGGAGCCGGCAACCCAGAGTATGAGCGTCCTTCCTAGCATTGAGAATCATCAGTATCAGTGCCACCCCCTCGAATGGACTTTATATGCTTCACCCCTCCCCTCCAACACACACAATCTTAAAAATCTGCTTGTCACATGGCATAGAGAGGGGCATTAATATGCCTTTATTGCTGACATTAAAATAAATTCAACTGATTTGAAAATTCACACTTTAGGGAAAAGCTGACATTTCACTTTCAGACCTTTTTGCATGTTTGCCTTGGATAGGGAGCCCTGCAGAGTTTATAGATTGTTTCAGCTGATTTAATTCGTTTGCAGAAAAAGCAGCAATAGCACCTTAAATTCAAAGAGTAGAAGCCTCTCTGGAGAACAATTAACACCATCCCCAACCTCCTCCAAGGGTGTCATGGGGTGGCTGAAAGGCACAGGACTTGGTGTCCCAGATCACTCACTTATAAAGTATGGGTACAGGGATCTGCTAAGTAAGCTGGCTTCAAGATAACAAGCTCCCCAGGACACCAGTCTGATTAAAGAAAATAAAGTCTAGGTTTCTACTTCATCTATGGGGGCAATTTTGACCCCATTCCCCCACCTCTTCCCAGGGACATTTGGCAATGTCTGGAGACATTTTTGATTGTCAGAGTGCAGGGGGGCGCTACTGACATCTAGAGGGTAGAGGCCAGTGATGCTGCTAAACATCCTATAATGTACAAGAGGGTCCCCCCTAAGAATGATCCAGACCCCAGTGTCAATAATGTCCAGGAATGTGAAAGCCTACTCTCTATGGGGTGTAGTAATCAAAGGGTGAACTTTGAAAGAATGACAAATGTTAGGGAGGCCAAAGCAATTATCTGGCTTTATGGTTATTCTTCAAGTCCAATCTGGGGTGTAATTTCTTTTGTAATGAATCATTAGGTAGAGCTGGATACCTGAAGAATAGATATGTGCAGGCTTATTCTGATACATGTACACC